GAGGCTCCGCCCACCACGCGCAGGCCCTGCCCCCAGGCCTCCCCGCTCGTTCCCCCGGCTTCCTGGGCGGTCCCCCCTACTCCTTCCCGAGGGGGGCTCCAGCCAGTTCCTTTCCCACGCACAACCCACCATCCGGGGCTCACTAAGTCCTGTCTACACCAGCCCCGGATCTGGTTCATTAGAAAACTTGGCCTCGATGGGTCTGACCAATGGAAGCAGGACTAGACATTTTTTTTTTTTTCCCCAGTTTCAGCCTCATGTTAATCTGTGTCACAGTGCAGGCGATTAAGCAGCCCTTTCTCTCTGGGCATCTCTAACGTCACTGCAGCTGCTACCCACGGGCGGTGTGGGGCGTCCTTTCCGGGGCTGCGGGCTCCGCCTGAGGACACCTGGCTGGAGCCAGGAGCCGGGAGGGGAGGGGAGAGGCCCAGGGCACTGGACGCTCGGGATCCCGGAGCACTTCACTGCAGCATCACTGCAGCGTCTCTGATGAGTTTATCTGCTTGTAGGTCAGATTTTGAGCTACTGCAGGGCAAGGGCCGCTGTCTTTTTTTTAAATATGTTTTTATTGATTTTAGAGAGAGGAAGGGAGGGCGATAGAAATAGAAACATCAATGACAGAGAATCATCAATGGGCTGCCTCCTGCACGCCCCCTACTGGGGATCCAGCCTGAAACCGGGGCTTGTGCCCTGACTGGGAATCAAACCAGGGACCTCTTGGCGAGTGGTACAACACTCAACCAGCTGAACCATACCCGCCGGCAGGACCACTGTCTTACTGTTTTATACCCTCAGTGCCTAGGGCATAGCAACATTCAAAAGTGCGTGTGAGCCTGGCGGGCGTGGCTCAGTGCTTGAGCACCGACCTAGGATCCAGGAGATCACTGTTTGATTCCCAGTCAGGGCACATGCCAGGGTTGCGGGCTCGATCCCCAGCAGGAGGCACGCAGGAGGCAGCCATTCAATAACTCTCTCATCATTGATGTTTCTCTCTCTCTCTCCCTCTCCTTTCCTTTGTCTGAAATCAATAAAAAAAATAAATGCGTGTCAAGTGAAGGGTTGAAAAGTGAGTTGGTAACCCCCATAACTTGCTACACGTCAGCATCCGGCTTTGTTCTATGGAAGAGCGTTCCTGGGAGCACAAGGACCGAGTTTCCCCAGTTATGCTTTGTCAGGGTTCACCTCTCAGAACGTCTTCAGGAGTGCTGACTCTGATGGGCCGAGACTCCGTACCATCAGAATCAGGGCGCCGCTTTGATGTCTCCAGGGCTGTTTAATGCTCCCCTCAGGGTGTTACAAAGGCAAAGCATTTGTGATATGAGTTAGGCTTTGTTTCCAAAAAAATTCAAGGAGATAATACGCAGTAGAGTTGATGTCATTGCTTATTAAAATGCTGCTGCTGCAATCCCCACACTGCCTCATGGACACGTGAGGCCCTGGCCTCTCTGTCCAGCTTCATCTTGCGCCATCCTGGTCCATCAGGCCTGAAAGTATGTCACACTCCTTGCACCTCAGGGCCTTTGAACATACTGTCTGGAATGCTCTTCCTCTTGTTTGCCTACTCACCTATCATTTCTTAATTCAGATGTCACCTCCTCAGGGAAGCCTTCTCTGAACCCTCCGCCCTTGCCCTATACCTCAGTTGCCGCCTGTTGCATTGCTCAAAGCTTTATTTCATAGCACTTACCAGCTCTCCGTGACCTGTTTGTGATTATTTCATTACGGTCTCTCTCCCCCACTAGACTGTAAACAGGCACGGAATCTGCTTTGCTCACTGTTGTGTGTCTTCTGTAGTGGCCAGCAAAGCAGTACTTACCGTGTGCTCAAATCATTTCCTTTTTTTGTTAGATCTTCTGAGCGTGCATTTGGCTGAGAACCCAGAAATCATTCTTACGGGACCGTGTCTTTTTCATTTGATAAACTTCTCTCAAAGACCATGCTGGTTTTTTATCCACCTTGTCAGCTGTGGTCCTGGTTAATATGTCTGGCTTCTTAATCCGATCTTATCACCGTTTTCCATGCCTTATGAAGTGGTTGCTGAGACTATTGTTTAAGGCCTAGAATGACGAACCTTCCTGAAATGGATGCTAATAAAATCGTTCTCAAATGGCTCGAGAGGAACTAAGGTGCACTACTTTGAAACAACTGCGTAGCTACAGGTATCTCAACAGAGGGGGGAAAAGACCTCAGGTCTAGGCCACCAAGGAAAACTCCAGGATCGAGTGTCCAAGGCATGCATAAGGTTTCAAACCTCAGCCGTGTTCCTGAATTGAACCAACCTTACCCCACGGGGCCTCTCAATTCTATTAGCACTTTTTAAGTAAGACTGTTTTTAGTGTTTCTGTATTACTTTGATTCAGGATTTCCTTCTTTTGGGGTATTTCTATTTGTTGAAAAGATCTGTTCCCACAAATTCTAAAAATACCCTTTTATCAGTTTCTTCTGATGGCTGAATTTCTGAGAGGCAAATTCTACTATAATTCAGTTGCCTCCTCTCAAGATAAAAGATATAAATTACACAAAACATAAATGCTAAAATCTAGTTTTATCCTGCAACTATTTCAAACATACTGAGACTGCTTCTCTTTAAGAAGAAATTGCTCACATTTAAATAACTTTAGCCACAAAAAGAAAAAAAAATGTCTTTGCTTTCTTTCTCCTAAATTCTGAGAGTCCCCAGATTTGCGACCAGGGGAGCAGTGAGCAGCAGCATGTCCCAGGCTAACCCCCGAACCTGTCTCCAAGAGCCCTCCTTTGCCTCTGTAACTTGTTTGCAGAGCCCACACAGCCCAGCTGGCCCACTTCTGCCTTTGTGGCTTTCTTTCTAAAAGGCCAGGGCAGCCTCACCTAGGCCCACTCCTGTTGCTGTGATCTTGCCTCTTCTATTATAAGCCCTTCCTTTGTTTCACTCTCTCCAGCTTTAATAAACATACAATAAAAATTAATACTCACTTTAGCCACAAAATAATTTTTTACTTTTTAAATCCTTTATTCCTGAAATTTAGTTCCTGAAACACCTAATCGGTGTTCTCTCCACGCAGGTTGACATGTGGCATGAAGAGAAATCCGATCGTATCATATAGAGAATGTTCACATTTGACTCTCAGATGGGAAGCAGCCTCTGCCGGGACATCATAGGTTTCTGACTTGGGGGTGAGAGTTCAGGATCAACCATCCCTTTCTCAGATCTGCTTGGTACCAAGCAGCCTGCCCAGACGGGAAAAGCAAGCATTTGTCTAGAACACAGCCAAACCTCACCCACTTCTCTTTTCAGCACCCTAACTAAAAAGGCTCCATGGAGTGGCGTCTCTGCTCTCCTGAAAATCACCTCTGAAGTGGCCCTAGAGCCCCTGAACAAAGGGGCGTTTACACAGCACAGCAGAACTCTGATGTCTAAAGTGCTTAAAGACCTGTCCCCATTCCTGAGGAAGTTAATGTGCCAGGTTCAGTTTCAAGTGACCAGGCTTCCTCGTTTCACTCTTGTGTGATAAAAAGAAACCAAATAAACTTATTATTAAAAATATATTTTATTGACTGAAGCTGATCAATTCTCTTAGAAGGACAGAGAGGCACATAGTATATTCTTTAAAAAATTAAATTACAAGTTAAAACAGAAGTGTTTTAGACTTTAATTTTTAAAAAGGCATATAAAACTTGATCTTTCGGCAAGCTGTTGTTTGTGCTAGTCAATGGGACAACTACATACCACTTTATGTCTATGTATACAGCCCTGGCCAGAGCTGGAACCAAGAGGGGAGACGAGAGGAGAGAGTACCGTTTCTCCTGTATCTGGAGCTGGCTTCTTGTGACTGGTTGAAACACAGGGAAGTCTGCTTCTCCCTTAGCATAACTCCAAGTTTGTGTATCCACAACACAGAGTAAGGTCTGATTTCTTACACATGAGAAATATTTCTGATATATGCAAATGGTCAACTTGAAAACAAACAAAATATACGTGTTTAAAAATTAACTTTTGGTTTCTGCTCCCCTTTGGTATGAAATGCTGCTTATGAGGGATGACAGTCCTTTTGTTCTCAAGGTTAAGTACCAGGTATTGAAGGCTGCTTCCTGCCTTCCGCAGAGATGAGAAACCGGCTTCTGTAGGAAGGAAACCTGGAGTTAGTAAGATCAATGATGCTAGACCATGTGCTAGGAGCTCTCAGTCTCTAAAAATTAACTGTATCCTGATTTTCATCAACATAAGGTCATGCAATATATTACAAATACGGAAACTCAGCGGAGAGTACGAAGGAACAGGAGAGAGGAAGAAAAGGAGAAGACTAACACTTTCTGTTTTCAGAGTTTTTAAAATGCTCTTCTGTTTACATTGAAAACAACTAAAATAATTAATACCTTTTAGCTTACACTGGGTTCTATGGAAACTGCATGTGACAGTAAGGTTTGATAGCAGGAAACACAAATCGAGAAAGGGCTTACTAGGTCAATAAACCTTCTTTCTGGAGCATGAAACCCATGAAGAGACTTCTTTCCAGACATTCAGATGAGGTGTTCATTCAGATTCAGATTTCGAAAGCTCTATGTGGTCACTGCCTTAGATTTAAAATTCTAGGTATTGAGAACAATAACTTTTCTGATCTCCATTTCTCTTACAAGTAACTGACATTTTACCCTGATTAAATTTAGAAGGTATGTATAAATAGGTCACACAAAAGAGAAAGAATTGCAGGTTAAACAAACGTGGGGCCTTAACTCCACCTTATCAGTGTTCCCAGGTTACTCATTAAATCTCCATTGAGATAGAAAGCGAGATACACAAAGGTGACTTACCCACGAATACTGCATGCTGAAGTGGACTTTTGTTTTCTTCAATTACTGAGAGGTGTTTTTCTGAGCTGACTCTTCTGAGGCTTCCAAGTTCTACAAAACAACTCCCAAATTAGTAACCAGGACAGAAAAGCCAGAAAATACTTAAGACAATATAGATATACCTTGAAAAGACCTCAGGGATGAATTAAATACAGTGAAGGAACTCCATACAACTACCATCCTTCCGTCCAACCAGGACTACTGATTTCCTATTTGGGTGGGGCCCCGGGTCTCACGGTGGAGCTAGGACACCACCGTTTGCTGTACGTCAGTGTTGCAGCTGAACTCTGCTAATTATCACGTCAGCCTTCCTAGAGACTGAGCAGCAAGTCCTTATTGAAGACAATGGTCATCGCTAAGAATCAACAACCTTACGTGCTCTGCCTTCATTCAAGTGCCTACTGAGGGCTTAGTCAGCACTGTTAGGTGTTTGGGGGGGTATTTTTAAAAAAGGGGGTAAAAAGGAAAGAGGAGGATGACCCCTACAGACGCAGGAGGTAAACTTCAGCCTGTAGGTGAGCCCCCCGCCAGCCGCTTCCCCCCCATGGCACCTATGTTTGAACAGTGCTGGGTGCTTGCAGACCTCCCTGCTTTGCCCTGCTGCCTTCTCTCTACTCAAACGCCTTCCTATGTCTCTTACAATCAGATGGATTGTACTTTGTTCACTTGAAAACATGATTTTAAAAGGGATTCCTAGCCTTTACTGGCCTGCCACGAAGTGAAGACCCTGTCAGATGACACCTAGTCTCAAACTAGCAATGAGGACATCCTGCCCGTGTGCCAGCCAAAACTACAAGTTCAGTTTCAGGCCAAGTCCCTCCCCACGCCCACACCTCAGGCACGCAGGAGGCTGCTGTGGGGAAGGGGATGGGGTCAGCTGTGCTGTGCCCTACTCTTTCCTTCTCTCTGTTTTTAAGTTATTGCTATTTTTTCAATAGTAAATATACTGACATGGTTTGAAAATAAAAACCATATTCCCACCCCCTTTCATACACATGGGAAACGCTGTATGAACCTTTCAGTGTCTCACTTCTTTTCACTTAATAATATACCCTGGAGCCTGGCTGGGTATGGCTCAGTGGGTTGAGCTTCGACCTAGGATCCAGGAGATGGCAGTTCAATTCCCGGTCAGGGCACATGCCTGGGTTGTGGGCTGGATCCCCAGTCGGGGGCATGCAGGAGGCAGCCGATCAATGACTCTCTTATCATTGATGTTTCTCTCTCTCTCTCCTCCCTTCCTCTCTCTGAAATCAATAAAGATTTTTTTTTTTTTTTAAAGTACTTATTTGTTAAAGACACATAACGAGGTATTTTTGAGTAAAATGATGTCTAGGAGGAAACACATATGGACAGAGACAAAAAAATGGCAGAAAGTTGATGGTTGCCAAAGGTCTCTGAATGTAGCATTCATCTACTTCTGTATTTGAAATTTTCTATAATAAAATGTTTGTTTTAATCCCCAAGAATTTTTTTTTCTATGCCCAGGTAATTCGAAAGAGGAAGTTTGGGTGCAGTGACATTTGAGTATGACTTTTTCTTCCTCAAAACCAGTGTGCTTAAAAAAAACACACACAAAAAAAACCAAAACAACAAAATACCAATGTACTGCCCCCTCCCTCAGAGACAGAGACAAAGCCTCGTTCACTGCCCGACCAGACACTGGTGCACAAGGACTCAGCGCAGCGCTCAGGTACAGTACTACACACAGGGTGGAGAGGGGAAGCTGTACCTTTTTGGCAGCGCTGCTGGCACTCTCAGAGCTGATGGGGAGCAGGGTGCTCAACTCCAGGTCCGTCACCATCTGGCGAGACTCTGCCAGCAAACGCTGCAGCTTACTGGTGGGAGAAAAATCGTCCTGGGAAGACAGTGCAAGGTAAGCATCCAGGAAATCAAGAAGCATTTTCAAATGTTTATGTTTACAAAATTGATATAATATACAAGCATTAACTATCCGTTAATTTTTCTTTAGGTTATTATGTATCAAAATAGGCCATTAAATATGTATTAGAATAACCAAATCCCATTTATTTCTTAGAACCTACTTGGCTAAATAATTTGATTGAAACAGACCTTACTACAACTAATTAGTAATGTCCATGTGATGAAAAAATCCCAGGCATGGTTTAGCTCTCCTAAATCAACTTGCCAAAGCCATAGTTAGAATGTCAGGACACTTGCAAAATGCAACTTTAGCACTAAAGGCTCATAAGCTTTTTAAACTATGTGGACATGTGCCTTAGTTTGTTCTTGTTCAATTTTCGACCCTGGGATCTGAATTTTTAGCCAACTCCTCTCAAAGCACTGAGACTAATTTTTTCATTAAGAAAAATTAATTTCTAATTTCGCATGAACAAAGATCACTACTGATCTAGATTTGGAATATGGTTAATAAATACCTAATGAATATATACTGACTATGCACACACGCACGCGCACACACACGTACATGAGTGGACAACACAGGCACACAATGTCATACACTGCCTCAAAAAAACGGTGCAAACATTGAAAAAGGGTCTCTCAAGAGCTAAGAAAGGCCATAGCTAATATTTCCCCTCATTATTTATGGCTTGGAAGATTAATAGCTTTGAGGTAGAACTAACATACAATGAACTGTGTAATTACCATGCAGCCTGATGGGTCCTGACAAGTGCACACCCATGACCATTCCCACATGACTAGGGAGTGCATTCCTCACACCTATGCCCCTTGGGAACTGCTGCCCCTGTGAGTCCCTCCCCTGATCCTAGCAACTACTGATCTGCTTTCTGTCACCAGAGGTTACAGAAAGAATTTGATATAAACACATTCATATATCTGTCTGGCTTCTTTCATTCAGCATAATTATCTTGTGTGTGTAAACAATCATTTCTTCTTGTTGCGTTGCAGAGAAGTCCCCCATTGTAAACAGACCGGTTTATTCATCTACTAATGTGTATTTGGGTTGTTCCAGTTTTTAGCTCTTACAAACAAGCTGGGCATTTCCGAGTGAAATACAAACCTTTTCACTGGGCAACGCCACATCTTTGTTCAGGAACAAAATCCTAGGTGAGTTCTTTCTATCAGAAGAGGACTCTGTCTCCACCAACTTCTCCTCCTCTCTTAGGACAGCACCCAAACAGTGGGAGTGCTGGATGGCAATGAGCTCACTGTAAGAAAACCAGATAAAGAGAGCCACCTTAAAACGGTATCGCACACATGTCACCAATAATCTTAACAAGTATCTCAACAAGACAAAGAAAAGGTTGCTTCTCTTTTTTAATGGAGGCCCAATTTTGAGTAGATTACAGATCTGAACAGAACATTTGAGTAAAATACGATAAGTTAATGCATACCCTTTGCAGTAATAAAACAAAATTCTTAAAGGGTAACTATAGAATAGAGAATTCCCCTCCTGTCCCCGCCAAAAAAGGTGGCTCAGGGATAGAAGCAACCAAAAAGGAGGGGGAAAACAGTATAATTTGTAAAAATTTTAGTTTTTTGGTTTGTGAGACCAATTTCTGTTAATGGTATTTAGAAGTCCTTTTGTGAAAGTAGAATGGCATTGTTGTAGCTCATTAATTCTATAGTTTCTCCAAATCAAAGAACAGACACATGCAGCTAAGCTTCTGGGTGTGTTATTGGAGTTAATAACAAAAGCTGCTCTGGCACTAACGGGAGGCAACGGCCCTCCTCCCGCCATATCACCTGTAACTAACTAGGTGAGAGCAGGCTGCCGTGGCTTCTCCCTCCACAGGTAACCTCTATTATCAAATGGAATGGTGTACAGATGTAAGCACTCAGTCAGATAATAGAGTAGGTACACAAGGTCTCATGATCTAAGAAAAATAAAAAAATAGAATTATTTTCTCTACTCAGTCACTTACCTGTCATGCGATGCCCAGCATGTGCCTCTGCTGGCCCAACAAGGAGTCACTCCAACTACTTCAAGCCAGGGAGGTCACGACCGCCTCAAAAGAAAACTCCGGATTTAAATTTGGATTTCTTTTGTACGTAAATTTAATATACGTCCACTGTGCTCTTAAAATCATCTGACACAGCTTTTCCCGTAATATACGGGTGTTCCTGCTCAGTAGTGCAGTCTGTGAGGTGGTGTCCTGCTCAGTTACCATGATCTAAAGGTCTTCAGAAACCAAGTATGAATACATAGCACTTAGTGTGACAACCAATATCTTAAAATTCTGCAACTGATGGAATAATTCCCTGTATGACTTTAAATGGCTCAGGTTTCCAAGAGCCAAAGGACAATTCAAATAATGTAAACACTAGAAAAAAAAATTTAGTCATAAAGTCCTACAAAAGTCAAAGGCCCTCAATATAAAAACTTTGTCTTTTCTGTAACTTAAGGTTGAATAGGGCCACCTGACCACAAAATTCAGCCATTCTGACAATCCAAGGAGCCTGAATAATGCATATATGCTAATAACTCATATGCAGCTTATGCTAATAACTAACCCATCTTCCTCTCTTAAATAACTTTGCCAACCTGTTACATACAAGTACTCTTTTTTTTCCATGATTTTAAAGAATAAGAATGTCTGGGAAATGTACAGTGAACACAAAGGCAGGAGCAGCTGGATGTGCAGTATGGGGGCAACCCTGGAGAAGAGCGTTATCTGGGGCGCAGGTAATGCATTCAGTCTGGACAGAGACATAGCTTATCCATCCAAACCCTCCCAGGTGAGGAATGCCCCAGAGCAGCGTCAAGTGAATCACCTGTTTTAAATAAAACATATTTGCCCAACTCATGACAACTGGCTTGGTTTTTAAGCAAAACCTTTGCCTCAGAGGCTGTCCTAGGTACAGCTTTTCACTGGAATCTAGTTCAGTCTCCGCACAATAAAAAACTCAACAGCCGCCCTGGCCGGTGTGGCTCAGCAGTTGAGCATTGTCCCATGCACCAGAAGGTCACCGGTTCAATTCCAGGTCAGGGCACATGCCCGGGTTGTGGGCTCTATCCCCAGTAGGGGGTGGGCAGGAGGCAGCCAATTGATGTTTCTCTCTCTCCCTCTCCCTTCTTCTCTCTCTCTCAAATCAGTAAAAACATATTTTTTGGGGGAAAACAAAAACTCAACAGCCTGTGCTATGATGAGAGGAAACAGGTTATCTCTAATACCACCTGTCTGCAAACACAGTGGCTACTGCACTGTGGGGGCTCCCTGGGCATTACAACGTGAAACCTCACTAACCTCGGGGAAGAGTTGTCTTTTGTCCGGCTGGCACTCTCGGTGCAAGTGCACATGGCCTTGTGGCAAACAACTCCCTGCCGTTGAGAGGGCTTGAAGATGCCCATCCACTCCACATCGGACATCTGGCCTGGGGCTTCGACGACGAAGCTGCTCGGGTGGCAGCATCTGAACTCACACGCATCGTTCTCACCCAGACAGGCTTCGTTTTTATGACAACACGAGAATCCCGATCTCCCTGTGGGGTCTTGGCACTCGGCATCCAGCTTCTCTGGCCATTTTGAAGCAGAGCAGTTGGACAGGCCCAGGTACACACTGACATCGTGCCATGGCTTTTCATCAGATAGGGCCAGTGTTTCTGAGAGCTGTTTCTCATCCGTCTGAACCCTGAGTCCATCACCTTTGGGGGACCTTGCATGGATCTTGCAAAATGTGCTTTTGTTTTGGGGTTCGATCTGGAGTTTTCCTCCTGGAGACCAAGACTTTTGTTTCTCCGTTAAGTCTTTTGCAAACAGAGATGAGATAGCAATTACTTTTTCCCCAAACGAAGTATTAACCTGCAGCTTCTTCTCTTTGCACACATCGCAAGAGCTCTTGTCTGGCCTATTTTGCTGAAACAACGTGGTCTCAAATTTCTGGTCCTTAATCAGTGACTTCTGATATTTCTCCCTCTTAACATCGACTTTTGGGTGGTTATTTTCAAGGTCAGATAAACACATGTCTCTGCTACGGTGGCATCACAAAAAACGGAAGTTATAAGACACACTCGATACTGTCATTCTCAATAGTTCACCCCAACCTCATTAGCTGACCTAAATCCTAGTAAGACCCATTTGTCTATTAACAGGAAAATCAAAGTAAGAGCAGAGCTCGCCCTTAACTAGCTGAGCTTCTCCTGCAGCCATGTACAGCATTCTTGGCATCACTTCTTTTAGGCGAGTATCCTGTCCCTATGTCTTTTTTTTTTTTTAAATGTTTTTATTGATTTGAGAGAGAGAGGAAGAGACAGAAACATCTATGCATCATAGACCGGCTGCATCCTGCAGGCCCCCTAGTGGGGATCAAGCCCACAACCCAGGCATGTGCCCTGACCAAACCCAAGACCTCTTGGTACACAGGCTGACACTCGACTACTAAGCCACACCGGCTGGACCTGTGTATCTTTATTTGCCCTATTCCTAGCCTAGTGCCTACAATACTGTGAGTGCTGAATGAACAAACAAGGAATTCATCCCTGTAGTTTCTACTTTAATTCAAAGCCTTCTACATAACAGACACACAGTTAGTGTTCAATGAATATTGTTTATCAAATGGCTAAATTAGAGTCATGCCTAAAATTCTAAGCTCAGGTCTCACCACAACCCAGGGTTAAAATGATCATTATTATCTCACCTAGGTTTCTTCCCTACCACATAGGGGATAGTAGGTGCTGGCCCACAGCAAGCACTGAACAAACACTGACTGAATGATGGAATAAATACAAGATCATGTTAACAGCATCTTCCTAAGGTTACCTGGACTCCACGGCCTTTGATTCCTCCATCCTTGAGTTATATATGTGTATTAACTCCTGAGAATTTTCCACATTGAAATTCAGAAACTGTAGATCACTCTGTTGTTTTACATAAATCTGCCGTAGATATTGGTAAGTCAATATAAAGTGTAACAAAACTAAATTCAGCCAAAAATTGGGTACTTTCAAATATTAAAACAGATCACATGTTGACTAGAGAAATGTTAAAAATGCTGCTTTTATTTTTTTCCTGTGTCAGCACGGAGATTTGTTCGTATAACTAGTCTCCTCACATTTAATTACCATAAACAAGGCCCTCTCTGCTATACTAAATATGATACATATCTAATGTAGCTGGGATTCCAAAAGCACCACAAACGAAATCAACAGACACACACTTCCCTAACTTGCTGTTTGTTCCTAAACGTCTCCCACCTAATAGTAGAAAGAGTGAAACTGGGGACGTACCTGCCTCAGACTATGCAGCTCCGCGTTCGTACGCTCTTGCTTTGACTTTGCAATATCAAGCAACTCGTCTTTCCTTTTCTCTCTCTCCACTATTAAATAAAAAGTATTATTAAGGTATTTTTCATCGGCCATACAACATAGGCCTCTTCATGTCCCAATGGGCTCATTAGAGTATTATCTAACAAACTCCATATGCCTTACTTTAAAAATCATAATAGGATTAAGAGTAAAAAATTGGTGAATCAAAAAGAAAAGAGACTGTTAGAACCACCTGCAAATGTTTTTCCTTCCCCTGACCTCCCATAGCATTTCATTCATAGCATTTGTATGGTACTAAATTCTCTAGGCCTGTGAGATTCTTGGAAAATAGCAGAGTGCCTGGCACACAAATGCTGATCCAAAGACCGTTTGAATTTAGCTCTGAAGCTACTAATATAGATATGTCTTTAATATATCTATATATATCTTTAGCAATATAAGACATCACTTTGAAACAGCAATCCCAATAATGGAAACAGTGACCTCTAGTGGTAGAAAGCCATATTTTGCACATGAGATTCAAATTAAGAATTCAATTTATTTGAAATTTTTAAAATAAAATATTGCATTTTGCCCTCTTCACTTTATAGAAATGTATTCTCTTCCTAGAAGGCAAGGCATTGAAGGTAGGTGTGAGTAGACAAAAAAAATTTTAATTACTATTTGGAATTTTACCTCCAAATCTATGATTTTCCTAGTACAATCTACCAAAATGAAAGCCTAATAAAATCCTCTTGGCTGGCAGGGATAGAAATAAGACCTACATATCAGTGATTCTCAACTGGGAGTAGAGAAAGGAGAGGTTTTCACTAGTGAAAACTGAGATATTGAGGCAGGCGGGGGAGGGGTAAAGCGTGGGAGAGTATGGGGGGGAGGGAATGCAAGTTTTATCAGAAGGGGGCCAAAGTGAAATCTAACTGACAAACTAGCTTTTGAATCATGAAAAATTCGTCCCCAACATTATTAGTTTAGGGTTATCCTGATGTAACAAAACACATGAATAGTTTTCCAACCATAATTACAGGTGATCTATTTGCAAACTGGAAAAATGTTAAATTGCTAATGTTTATATAATATCTGCAAAAAGTATAAACAATCTTCCTTAAGTTCATAAGAGTCTTAATGAATTTTTAGTGAGAAGTATAGTCACGCGTTCAAGCTGGGAGGGAGGGTAGCTCATTTTACAGAAGAGGAGACTGTTAACTGGGAGGCACTGTTACAGATTTAAGTCCCTGCCTGGTCCCTCTCCATCCCTCAAAGGGTGGTTAAAAAAAAAAGAAAAAACTATTTTAAGGGCAACATAATTCCTTTAGCCTGCCGTAGTAGTATCATAGAAAGCTTAGGATACAAATATCTATCTGTTCAGTCACTTAAACTATTTATTTTTACCGGTAAAAACCAATTCGTCGTGCAGACAACTCTTCTCCTGCTTGAGGCGAATGATCTCTTCTCGTTGGTCATTGTTTTCTGTCGTCTTTTCGTTTAGGTCCTCTTCACAAACAGAAGGAAGAAAAGCAAGTTCTCAGATCAACAGCAGATCCGAGAATACGCACAGTGGCTGCCTCTCCTGTCCTGTCCTGTCCTGAGCACCCCAATGAACAGAAGTCCTGCTGAATCCACAGCCAAGACATGGCTCACATCCAGCAGCTCGCTGCACCCCTGGCAACGACCCTGACCAAGGCTCTGCTGTCTCTCACCTGACCAGTCTCCCTGCTCGAGCCTTGCCTGTTGTCCACGGAGCAATCAGGGCCGTCTTTTCAAAATAAAAATCTGCTCACATCACCTCTCTGTTAAAAGCCCTCCTACCACACTTAGGATGAAATTCAAACAAGACCTGCTGGCCCAGCCTGGCCTGTCACTCTCCCTCCTTTCCTTCTGTTCCTTAACATGTTCCAACCTCAAAACCCACCAGGGCTTTTGCATTTGCTGTTTCTCCACCTGGGAGGTTCCTGGCCAGCTCTTCACATGGCTAGTTCTTCCATCACCCAAGTTTCAGCTCGGGTGTTCTCCTGAAAGATGCCTTCTCTCTCCACCCAAACTGAGTCTTTCCCCTCACTCTCTAGTCCACTACCCATTACCTTGTTTTTCTTTTTTTTAAAAAGTATGAATAAATATCCAATTTATAAAATAAGGCATTAATAATGAAATATAGACTTTTTACTTGAATACCTTACCTAGGTATACATGGTATTCAATAAACATTTATCAAATGCCTACAGTGTACCCTAGGGGTCATGCTATTAACAGCAGGTCCAAACAAAGAAGACAGTCTGTCCCTGATGTCAAGGGCTTACCAGATGGTCGTGGTTCTAGCTGAAGCCACAAATGGGAGACAAAACCTATGATCTGCCCCAAGTCAGAGCATCACAAGAAGAAGACTGAGTCTTTTAAGTTTAACCAGCCACAATATGCTCACACAATTTCAACAGCAACTTCCTACCTCATTAGACACCCCACCAGGACAGAGGCAGGGTAACTCCCACCATACTACGGTTTGTGGGAAGTGATGGTGTCAGGTCCTCCCGCTTCTGCTTCCTCTCTTAGGCTTCGGCCTTCACTATGGGAGGAAGTGCCTACTGGTGAGGAGATGAGCCCGTAAAGCAGAACTGCCCCAGATGAGCAGCTCAGCGGGGCCCAACCGAGATCAGCCAACTCCCATCAGCTTCCTGACCCATGAGTGTAACAAAGGCTCACTACTGCGTGCCCCTGAGATACTGTTGCTGGTTGTTACAGAGCAGTATCAGTAGTAGCCGACTGACTGGTGCAGCCAAAGCAGGGTTCTTTAACAAAGATCATGCATTATGCAGTTGCCCCAACTCTATGATTTATCCTGTAACACAGAAACAGCAGCATGATGCTACACACATGAGATGAACATTTCCAAGGAGGACCCAGAGCCACCAACAGACCTACTCTCGATTACAAGATTAAGTGAACCCGAATGAAGAAATACATTGCCAGGATAGAATGCCTACACTTACGTCTCTTCCTTACCTTTTAGTTTATTGACTTCAACCTTAAGGGTCTTCAATTTCTGCTTATAGTCTTGCTTTTCTTTCACAATACAAGTCTCCACCATCTTGGCATCACGCAAAGCATGCTCTAACAATTTAAATTTCCCCGAACAGTCTGAAATGTGATTGACTGCCTCAATAATATCTTTGTCCTAAAAACCAAATTTAAAAACTGTTACAGAAGATTTTTAAATTCCAACTAATCAAAACAAAAAGATTGCATTTATTAAGATGTCACTCACTGTGTGCCAGGTTTCATGTGTTAACTCATTTAATCTGCACAGTAACTCTCTGAGGTAGGTGCTATGTTTATCCCCCAAGTGACCTATGAGTCAGTAGTAAACTGCCCACCATTACACAACTAGTTAGTGATGGAACTCCCATTTGAACCAACCAGCTGGCCCCAGGAACCAGCATGACCCACCATAGCTTACTGTCTCAGGAAACTTAGAACCTAACAGTTAAAAAAAACCTCCATTAAAAAAAACAAAATGAACAGTGCCAATGACTTCATGAGACCTAACAATGGATCCCTCAGAAGAAAACGAGCTAATCCAGGCACCCTAGACCACGGCATGGGTCTTGGAGACAGAAACCACCAGTGGAGTCCTGCCTCCCCTCCCAGTGCCTTGAGGGCATCATTTTAAACTTGTTTCATCTCTAAATTGAGAATGTGAAAAAAGATGCCCAGCCAGGTGTGGCTCAGTGGTTGAGCATCAACCTAGGATCCAGGAGACTGGGGTTCGATTCCCGGTCAGGGAACATGCCTGGGTGGCGGGCTCGATCCCCAGTTGGGGGCATGAAAGAGGCAGTCGATCAATGGCTCTCTCATCATTGATCTTTCTATCTCTTTCTCTCCCTCTCCCTTCCTCTCTCTGAAATCAATAAAGATATATTTTTTTCAAAAAAAGAAAAAAAAGAGCAACACTGGTAGCTCTATCTGCATAGCTATGGGATTTAAGAAAGGTCATGTATGTGACTATACTTCATGAACGACAAAGCTCTGGCGAATGGAGGCAGTATCATTATTCTGAATTACCTTTAGCTTTATCATTGTAGTGAGAGACTGTTCTCGAGCCTGTAACTGTCCCACCTGAGCAGAAAGTTCCACTAATGTGTTGCTGAGATTTTCGTTTCTAGCCTGTAAGGGAACAACAAATAAACACTAATGCAGGAGTCATTTAAAAGCTTTCATTACTATCAGCACCCACACTCTGCTTATTCTTGTTTCGTTTTTTCTTTGTATAACTCTTTTTTAGAAACAAAGTGGGCTAAGTAAGGAATTATCAAAAGGAGACAAACACTATTCCTCCACTACCTCTAGCATCCTCTCAGCCCACGTGGACCGAAATACTCCCATTTTTCAATTGAACATGTCAAAAGATTCTAAAATAGTTTTTACTTAGTTTATAGCTAAAAACCCTCTACTATAGTAGTCCGGAAAAAAATATGGAAAAAGGCATGCAATGCTGTCCTATTATTATACATTATTAAGACCTGTTGTATTACTGAGATCTATACTGAACATCACTATGAAACACGAATATGAAGGATGAAACAGAAAAAAGCGGCTCTCTCCGTGCCTCTCATAAAGCATGAGCTCAAAAAATAGCTGATGAATCACCTGCTACAACTAGAAACTGAAAAATCAGTCTTACAGATTTTATCCCCAGTACGCGCCTAACGTGGGGTAGGTATCTGTTTATCATGTCAGGTAAGACACGGTTCTTTAGAAAGCATAATTTGAAGTGCCAAAAACTTGGTGATACTGCTCTCAGACTGTAAGATGATGATAGATGCTACTAAACCAAATGGCCCCACAGTTAGAAAAGGGTTGTAATGAAGCCTCATCTCCAAGACAGACAGCTAACAGAGCAGTACAATGAACGCGAGACCATGACGATGGACAGATGTACATTCATACACATGCATATGCATTTTTGATGAAACATTTACATCTAAATCTTCAACAACTGAAACACAAACAGAATTTGGGCTAGTGCAGCTGGTCATAGAATAAAACAGACCTCAAGGTCTTCGGAGAGGAGAGAGGAATGGGTTGCCTTCTGAGCCATTTCTTGGAGCTGGAGTTGAGTCTTCTGAAGAGCTGCCTGGCATTCCATCTGATTAGATTCCAGGGTTTTTACCTTCTTCGTGAGTGACCTGATGATCTCAGTTCTTTTATGTAGTTCACCTGAGGGAAATTTCATCAGTAACTTATTTGTGATCAGATCTGAAGCTTAAAATGCATTATTTTCCAACACATGGTTAAAAAGTAATTGTGCTAAAGAATATTTTTAAGATAATTCTTCTTTTAAAAATTTTTATTCCAGCCCTGACCAGTGTGGCTCAGTGGCTGCAGTGTCATCCCGTACACCAAAAAGTGGTAGGTTTGATTCCCAGTCAGGGCACATACCCAGGTTGTGGGTTCAATCCCTGGTCGGGGCACGTGCGGGAGGCAACTGATTGATGTTTCTCTTTCTCTCTCAAAACAATCAATGTTTTTTTCAAAAAAACCCACAAATTCCTAAAGAGTCACCTTTTTTTTTTTTAAAAAAATATATATCTTTATTGATTTCAGAGAGAGGAAAGGAGAGGGAGAGAGAGACAGATAGAAACATCAATGATGAGAGTCACTGATCGGCTCGCATGTGCCCTCACCGAGAATCGAACCCCGATCGCCTGGATCCTAGGTCGATGCTTAACCGCTGAGCCACACCTGGCTGGGCCTAAAGAGTCACTCTTAACACTCCATGTTAGCTGGAGCTGGAGCCAGCACTCTTTCTACATTTAAGTGCTTTGTTCGCCCTACTTTAACTCACATTGTGTTTGTGTGTTCGACTGAGAGTGTTCACAGGGTCTTCCTAGCTTCAGTGACACAGATTCCAGGACAGTAGGTACTGTGCTGGGAGGTTCCTTCTCTATCGCTCACGGCAGCCCTTTCAATGTGCTAGCCAGAAGTGCAGAACAGATGTGGCTGGGTGCATTTCTGACCTTCTAGTTTGCTGCAACGTTCTTCCAAAGTCAACACTTTCTGCCGATCCTCTTCCCACGAAAGAAGCTGTCTCTGATGCACCGCGACCATGTCATTGAGCTCTTTATCGCGATCTTTCAGTTCTCCGATGAGCAGCTGCAGCTCTTTCCGTTGTTTCTCGATAGTGGAAACCTCAACCTCTGACCCGATGTTCTAATCACAGAAAGCAGTTTCACATCAAAATAAGACTAATCAATAGCATAAAACAGCCAAAGCATATTTCCCAAATAATTATATCTGCTTATGCTGCCAATGGAAGGTAGTTACGTCAACCAAGTTTTATTCACTGTTTATAACATGGCATCAAAACTGTGTATTTAAAACAAGTTCACACCTACTCTGCACTGCCTCATACCACACACACCACTGAAAAAGTGGGACCGTTTGTAAAACCTCTACTGGCTAGTTACGAATGAATCCGTCGCTGCATTTTTCTTCTTTGCTGTCAACCCTCCAGTTACAAATGAACCCGTCTCTGCATTTTTCTTCTTTGCTGTCAACCCTCTCCTTGTGTCAATCAACATTACCCCTCACCTTGCCCCAGCAATTCTGGAGCAATTAAGTGATGGGAAACATGAAACAATTACTGGTTAAAAGTAAATAGTTTTCATAACATCTAACACATCTGTACACAGTCTACCAAGAACAATTTCATATTGGGTCTGGTCCAAACTCAACATATCTATTAAAAAAACAAATTTTGTAAAGAAAAATTTTCAGACATACACAGAAGATAGAGAAACAGCACAATACACTCCCACGTGCTCAGAACCCAGGTCCTGCGATTATCAAGATTTTGCAGCGTTTCAATTTTCTTTTTCCTTTTTGTTGATAAAAAATACATTTCACTCATACATACTTCAGTGTGCATCTGTAAAAACGGACATTTTTATATAACCACGATGCCACTTTCATACCTACCATAATTATCTACAGTAGTTCCCTTTTAAGCTCACTTCATTTTAAAGTCTAGTGCAGGAGAGCTGGTCTGACCTAAGTGGGGATCCAGAATTAGCCACTTGGTGGTTCTATAACCTTGGGCAAGTTACTTCACTGTAGGCCTTCCTTTCCTCCCCTGTAAAATGGTAATAACAGCACTACTGTGGCTCCTCAGGGTTGTGTGGATTCCGAAAGAGACGCTCTCTGTAAAGCACCTCGGAGTACTTGGCACATCACCGGCACTCAACAAACTATTATTAACACTGTTCGTTACGTTTCAAAATATGGTACTGTCCCAGTCAATGAAACACAGAACTAAACGTGCTACTTTAAGACCCACGCACATCATTCCCGCTTTCTGAAAAACACGAACTGTTTGTAAATAAACAACAACAAAAACGAATGAACTACAGTTACTCGTAACTAAACACAAAATAATGGAATTTGGAGTCCAGGGATTCCAAATCTAGGAGACTTGAATTGCAGTCTTCGGTAAGCCCTTCATCCATTCAACAAATACTTACTGAGCACCGAGTGGCTGCGGATACACCAAGGAGCATAGATTCTAGTACAGGAAAACAAGCCACAGGCTACCTAGACGAAAAAGTTCGTCTCATCCTATACCGATGAATGCGAACCTTGGGCAAGCTCACTTTCAAGGGTTGTTGTGGGGTTTTTCCCCCCGTAACACGGAGTTATAAGGATGCGCCCCCACTGGCAGGTTACCGTGGAGCGGAATAAGGGCCGGGGAGCGCGGTGGCGCAGAGAAAGCAGCTCTGCCCGCGCCCGCTGCTATCGCTAAGCAGCGAGCAGGGGCCCGGCCCCGGTGGCTCAGTTGGCTGGGCGTGGTCCTTGCACCGGAAGGTTTCCGGTTCCGGTTTGCTTCAGGTCAGGGCACACGCCCAGGTGGCGGGCTCGACCTCTGGGGGGCGTGAGGGAGGCAGCCCATATATGTTTCTCTCTCTCCCTCTCTCTCAAAATCAATTAAAAAGTATATTTTTAAAAAAAAGAGAAGGAAACGAGCACCTGGTCCCAACACTGGTCTCAGCGCCGGGCTGGACAACAGGTTTCTCCTGAGAAAGAAACGGGATGTGACGGCCCTGTTTCCTCGACGCCCTGGGGCCTGTTTTACACCTGAAGCCGAAACCGTGCCTAAAACCCACCCGAGTTCGCCCCAAATGCA